AAATTTGAAATAATTGCGTAAATAGAAATCATGATTGAATAGGCTTAACTACGTCCAATTGTGACGAAGAGTGACGGTATTGGTCCGTTATATACATGGGCAGTAATTTCGTGTCGTTAAAATGAATTTATATCTTCTTTGAATCTTCCAACCCTATAAAATTATCTTGGTTGTGGTCTTAGGTACAAAATTTTTTTATTACCTGTCGTTGGAATTGCCATGATGAGAGCCAGCCGAGGTTTCCAGAAGAAAGTCCCTGGAATTGCACACTAAAACACCAAAATATAACGTGTTATTAGATTACATTGCGTGTATAACTTCCTTACGTTACCTCTTTATGAATCTAACACATGACTAGGTACTAATTCTTTTACGCATCATTATCATCATATCAGCCGGAAGCCGTCCACTGCTGAACTTAGGCTTCCTCAAACACTTCCAGAATAGCGGATCGGACGCGACGTGCATCCAACGGTTACCCGCCGCCCTTACCAGGTCATCCGTCGATCTAGCAGAAGGAAAGCCGTCCCACTACGCGCATTCCGGTGCATGGTCTCCATTCGAGAACCTTTCTGCCCCAACGGCCGTCATTCTTTTACGCAAAAAGTCTCTTCTTCAAAAAGTTCTTTTAAGCTAATGCAGCAAAACTTGATACATGTTTAGACTCTCTCTACTCTTCCATTTAATAAACTGCCACGACTTGTAAAGTAGCTGTATCACAATCAGTGGTCGGAAAAAGGTGTTCCACATATAGATAGATACATGTATTTTTTTTTTATATATATAATAGACACACGCTTGGCCACAATCTCACCTGATGTTAAGCGACGATGTGACCGACGATGGGACGCGTTTGCCTAAAAAATGCCTATTCACTCTAGCCTTGAATAGCCCCAAATTGTACTTTTCGGGAAATACAGATGCCGTAGAGCATTCCATTCCTTTGCCGTACGCATCAGAAAGGAGGAAGCAAAGCGCTTAGTGCGAATAGGTGGAATATCAACGACATAAGAATGGAGTGCTCCGGACCTTCTAGTCGACCGAAGGAGGAACGGTGAGGGCGGAACCAAATTGAAAAATTAACACACACACACACACACACATACATGTATATATATATATAGCGACAAGGAGCGACATACAGTTGTTAAAATCACCAAATATTAACTAATTTACTTTTTCGAATTCCAGATTTCCTGACGAAAGAAACTCCTCTCTTTATTCTATTTATGAAGAAAAAACTTTTTCGTCTTGTTTAAGCGTCCAGTAGTTTTTTTTATAAAAAGCTAGTAATAAGCTAGTGTGAACAGTTTACTTTTAAAATAGGTACGTACGACATATCTGCTAGTGGTTCGAATTTATGAAAATCTGTTATACCGTGTTTTTAAATTTAAATGAAATATTTTAAAAGCGGGTTCACAACGATTCTCATTCAAACTAAAATATTAAAATTCCCCTCGTAAATATATATTTTTTTCTTAAGTCCTACTACCAAATGTTGCCGTTCCGTCAATGTGACTGTCAATATGCGGTACCTAAAGCTAGGGAGGGGCGGAGAGTGACCATTCTCGTTACTTTTTATTCTCTGTTTTGGTAAAAGGTCAGTTATTTACTGCATTTTTTTACACGGGTTCATTAGAATTTCTTTAAAATCCAACTTCGATTTCCTAGGTCAGTAGTTTTGTCCTACTGAAACCAACGAAACTGTAATTAATTAATATTTGGTGATTCTAACAACTCTACCTGTATGTCGCTCCTTGTAGCTATATCTATACATGTATCTATACATTTATGTGGAACACCTGTTTCCGACCATTGATGATAAATCTACTCCACAGGGACAAACTACTTACAATTTTACCCGAATAATCTAAGCTTACTTCGTCATCACCACTAGTCCTCTTGGATACTCATTGAATAATACGTTGAATAGTATTGTTGACCAATGAATTAAACTATTTGGACAACATCGAGTGTTTAGTAGTTCTTAAATTTTCGCGATTATTACCTACACATAGGAAATGAAACTGTAGGGACACAGGACACGATACATGTGTGTTGCAACTTGCTAGACTGGCACGTTATGCTGACTAGCGTTTATTTATAATTGCATTTGAAATTGTAACTGTATTTTTGTAAATGTTATTTTTGTTTTTGGTATTTGTATTTTTTTCAAAAAAGGTTGTAGGGGAGGAATATTGTAGGGACACAGTGCTGACGTTACGTTTTCAGCCCTCCGCGTGTGCGCAGTCAGTCATCGCCAGTCGCGCGCACGGTCCGAACGATTCCAATAATATTCCTCGCCATAAATAGTTCCGAGTAAATCTGTGTAAATCTTCTAATTGCATTGTACCGTATACTAATTGGCAGGAACAATAAAAGTGTGACAACTAAATTATAACGGAGTTTTGAATTTATCTGGAATCCCCATAGTGAGCACGTTAAATCCGAGTGGTTAATAGGACCACCCACGTAAGTTCCTAAAAAACCATTTTTTCGGATCCTAATGCGTACATTTGTTTTATCAAAGAAACCAACGTTTTGGGTCTTCGACAAATCCCTTGGTCAAGCCAGCCTGGCCACGTGCGTGACCATGGGACCTGTAAAGGGCCCGAAACGTTCGGTTTGTTTGAAAATACAAATATACGCGATTTAAATCCGGAAAAATAGTTTCATTTCCTAAACATAATTAATAGCTCGTAAGAAACAATTGGTTGCGTAACACGTTCACGAGTACATACTCCGGTTATTCCAACATAGATATAATTACATACATTTTTAGATACATATTCTATAACAACTTATTTACCTCGACTGTGGCAAAAGATGCGACCATTACTATCAGGAACAACATTTTAAACTTTTCCGTCAATTACTCTTGTTTAATTTTATGAGGCAGTGTGTGTACTGTGTGTAAAATTCAAACCAAATGTGGAAAATCAAAATTAGTTTAGCATCAAGCAATTTCCACGAAGTTAAAACGGCTCACAATACAATTGTATCAAGAAAACTTCTCGACTTTCATAACAATTGTTAAAGACGCAATTAAGAAAAGAAAACCTCTCGACATCGCAAACAATATCTAGACATTCCGTCTTAAGTAACTATCTACGTTTGTTAATTTTATGCCTTTGTATTTCGATCCACTGAAACTTTTACGACATGTATTTTATATTATTGAGGTGTTGCTTAATGTTACAATTTTATATATAATATCTAAACTAAACGGAATGTTGAATCTTATTTTTGTTTGTACACCAATTTGTGCACCGAAATGTGCAGCTGCGACCGCAAATGTTTGTATTTTTTTACTGCTTTTTCTACTCATGTAATAAATTTGTCAATTGACAACATATCAAATTGTAATGGTTTAAAAATTAAGAAACCATTTAGAGATTTGATTGTCCTGAAGACGACATTAATTTTTCAGAATTTATTATTCACTAAACTATGTGATATTTACAAACAATCTAAAAGTTATATACTCGATGCCTAAAAGTAATCATAAATGAACGGCAAAGGTTTCAAACACTAAATGCCTTTGCTATGGTTTTTTGTTTTATTATCCAATTGTGAACGTGAGCACATCGACGGTTACTGTTAAGAAACAAGAGAAATAAGAAAAAAAAGAGTCATGATTATGACAGTGAGTGACAGACAACTAAATCGTTGCTTTTGATTATTTTGATGGAGCATTTTGAACATTTTGAACATTTAAAAGAAGAAGAAATAATTATTAATCTCAAGTTTTGTGTTGTTCTCAAAAGATTTCTCCCGGTTTTGCTTAGAGCAGCATTAAATAAATACTGAACATAACTTACAACTACGTGTGTCTTTTAAGGAACATCACATCATGCAATTCTTGTTAATTCGCAAAAATGTGAGGAAATCTACTACTTTATTTACATACTCCCCCGTTTGTCCACCGAAACAAATTATTGTAAAGGATCAAGACACGTCATACATATCTAATACCTGTGCGGTCCCAAATAGTACATTTATTTCTGCGTACGTGGCAACCTAACTTCGGCAGCAGTGTGCTAGGTAACATTCATTATAATTTAATGTGGAATAAGCCTTTTCAACGTAAACATGTGTCTTTTACTGCGATACCCATCTAACTTAAATAACTACTTTAATCTATGTATACTGCTACGGATACCGAGAGAGAGCGCGTGACGTTCCCCGCGCCCCGCGCACCTTGCCGACCGCCTGCTCGCCGACACCTCTACTAGATAAGCGACATTTAGTACATTAGTAGGAACATTTTGAGCAATAAACGTAGTTAGTACTCAGTAAGCAGTTGAACAAGTGTTTCATTTACGATTCTGATCCCGAGAAGAGCAAGAACCCCATCGATCCAGATCAAGAACCTGAACAAATACAGTCCACCGAACATTAACGATCCTACGAGAGCTAGATCACCAACATATACGTACATAATTATTATTGTAAATGTGTTTTTTAGTTTAATTTATTTTTACCTTTTATGAAACTAAATGAATAGTTACAATAGTAAACATAGATGGCCAATTATAAATTTCCTCAGATAAATTAACAGTTTTCATTACAAACGTAAAATTAAGAAAAAAATAAAAAGAGAAATTGTTACCTAGAATTAAAAAAAAATATTGCAGAGCAGTCGCTAAATTAGGTTTAAAAAGTTATGAAAAAGTCAATATCGTGCTGCTTCCCTATTCTGTTATAGCACTCACTCGAATGAAGAAGGCATTTTGCGTATACTTTTAGCAAATGGAAATCGATGAAAATCCTCAAATTTTAAAGACATTTACACTGACATACCGATTTCTCAATGAATTGTGGACCGATTTTGAAAAATCTTTTTTGTTTGAAAGGGTTGTACTATGGAGGTGGTCCCTGATGCCTGCACACAATTTTGTAAACCTACGCTCGCTTTTCAATACTCCTCAAAAGCTCATACCGACCGCGTTATCTAACCACCAGACAGCACTTGGTGCTGACCAAGTGCCAAGCTGCTCAGACCAGCATACCTGTGGTTCTGTCAACGTATACCAGTTTTCGTGTCTCCTTCAATCAAGAACGTCGTTGTCTATCGGTGTTTTACCGGTACCTAAGCAGATTACTTCGTTCACACAGGTATGTGTGACGACGTCTTCCAAGTACCCACTGCTCGAGGTCAAGAGTTCCTCCCGCTCAATCTTTACACCACTCGCTCGACTGCCTCTTCAACACTCGTATTCTAACTCACAATTTTTGTTCGTAAGTATTGTTTTATTTTTTTTATAACTTGTTACCCTTCTAATAGAGTCCCTTCACGACAATAGGTAAGCAAATTACACTTGAAATCGTCAAATTAGTTCCCTCCGGACGCTTTCGCGACCAGTTGCGAATGAGGATCTTTACATACCGATAATAAATAGGTAAAAATTGGATTTTAATTAAAAAAGTGACAAAGAATAAAACATGTTTATTGATAATTCTTTTTATGACCAAACTGACAAAAAAGCAGTAACTCTTAAAGATTCAACATAGCACGCGAAAAGTAAGCAGGAATTTAACTATAATTTGAAGACTCTTCAGACTCACTGGTTTCAATAGTTTCGAATGATGCAAAATTGTTGAATTTCTTGCTCGGCAGACGTAAATGTTTTGAAAATGCACCCTTTGCGTATTTATTGAATAATACCATTTCCTTATCCTCGGCATCCCACTGAGATTTTGGTATATAAAAGAGTAAAGGTCTTAGAATTTTTGGTGTTAGTGAGTCCACATTATAAAAGCGACGACGCCATAATTTTGTAGTGTCTACGATGTTCTCTTCACCATTCAACCACTCAGGTATTCTAGAACGATAATGAACCTCTAGATATTCCAGAATATTTTAAAAAGCATGTGCATTGTACTTACATTCAATCAGAACACTACTTACATATTAATATATCGCAGTAACCATCTGTAGACGTCAGTATAAAAATTAGATTTTAATGGATTAAGATGAGCAAATACCATAGCAGTAGATACACCCTCAGCAAAGCAAATTGCAGTTAAGCCCATTTCATATCCGTCAATGAGAACAACTTGACCGTCTCTGATGTTTTCTTTGGTAGGATATGAACCGGACCGTAATAGAGATCCGCTATGCCTACCTGGAATAAATTTATAGTTAATACTACAAGCAAACAAGTGTACTCAATTTCAACATTGACTCACTATGGACTCACAGAAACAAAAGTCGACAACGCTTTTTACAAAAGGCACTCTACACAGAATAGGCCTATAAAAAAAATCGATTCTCATGTATACGCTAGAGACGGAACGTTATCGACGTGACGGTGTCGACATGTATAATATTACGTACTGGTTAATCACGTATATGAAATGTATTTCCATGCTTGGCTAGACTGGATGTAGCGGATTTCTTTTTGCAAGTTTGTTTGGCGCAAGACAACATATTTTGTGGAGCAGTTGACGCGATGAACTCGATAATGGAAACGAAAAAACATCGATTCGAAAATAGTGTTCATCGTGCGATGGTATTTTTTTATTTGCACCTTGACAGAGGGGACTGCCTATCGGTGACGCTTCCAGTCCTATATGCTCTAAGCAGTCACGCATCTTACAAAAGATTAAACATAATAACAAAATTCCAATAACGGAAATTGAATGCGCTATTTTTTGTAGGTATAATTGGTAATACCGACTGCTTGCGAGAAGTAGATATCTAAACAACTGCGTGCAATCAACACTTGCTGCAAGCAGTTATTGCAGTGCGCATAGAGTCTGACCAAAAAAGCTGACACTATGCGATTTGAAGCTCTGAGTGGCGTTGGAACTACTGTGGATAGACGTGTCGCTTACCACCAGGCGCATAGCTTGTTCGTCTCGTCACTTAGTATAATAAAAATCAAACGCACTTTTCAAAATCTATGTAAGGCAATACAAAGTTTCTGTCAATGAAATTAACAAAGCTCTGGGGACTTGTTTAGGTAATGCATTACCTACACATTTACAAAATCCGGATGCTATCAACAGATCATTTCTGGATTCTATTCCAAACTTTGACTCTCCTGAGTGCCAGGATCAAACAGTTTTGGATTGTTATGTTAATAGTAGGTTTTGGCTCTGTAGTGTTAACCGTCAAACATACCTCCGAAACAATTACTGTCAAATAAGTGATACTGGACCAAATTAACAGACTCGAGTATTGTTTATTTGACAGTAATTATTGCGGACAGATGTCAGATGGATAACTAGAGTAGACCCCCAGTTTCCACGAATTAAAACTTGACGATTTCGTCATTATTTAAGGATTTTCTTAAGACTGTGAACTGGATTTCTTGTAAATCTGTTTGCACTGATGGAATATCCATTAAAATGACAAAACTTACTCTGCCGTATTCGTTGAAGGCAATCACTTGTTAGCGAAACTCGGAAATAACTTTTAAAGATTTATTACTTTATGTCAATTCTAATCACAATTTATTATAATCACGATGACAACAATAACAGTCAATTTATCTGAATAAAAAGCACTATTTTACAGTGCGAATGGGTAGTCGTCGCACACCAAGCGCTAGGAAGTGAGTGTGTACGTTTTTTTTTTGCGGACACTTTGCAGTTGGCCTCTGATGGCCTTGACTGCGCCACCAGAAGAAAAGGGCGAGCTGAAGGCTCTTAACCCGTAAACTAAACTTAGTAGCGGGCCTGAGGGCGCCCAAGTGGGCGCGGACCTCGGCTCAGGGCGTTACTGAAGACTTTCGCCAGAAGTGCTGTGTTGTGGGAGAGAATCTACCACTGCACGTGCTGTAATGAGGGGCTCTACGACAACGGCCGGCGAGGACGGTTCGTGCGTGACGAGAGGGACTGATTAGCGATCTAGTTGGCCTTCAAAGAGGCGAGAGTGATAGGGTCGTTGAGGACTTCCCTTTGCCGACGGGTACTACGTACGATTGTTCCCTGAGGGGGTCGTAGTTGGATGCAGCCACCACAACGGGGTTGGGGTGGTGAGGAGCAGAGTCGAAGTATTTCATGAATTGGGTTATTGTAAGGGGAGCCCTAAATCTATATGGAGGTTAGCGTTGAGCAGGTACTGGGTCAAGAGCACGCCAAGCTTGACTCTTAAGACTTAAATCCAACTCTATGCCGCTTACGATAAGAACGGTCCAAAGTACAAAGTGTCAAGCTTGATGTGCTCTTGACTGTACCACGGGGCACCCGTCGCGTTGCGCATGAATCTATTTTGGAGAGTCTGCTGGCGGTGTATAAGCGACGCTGACGTAAGTCATGATTGGGCGGATGCAGGTCGAGTACAATCTCACCTTATTTCGAAGCTATTTGCTATGCTTGTTGAGAAGGGGGTGGAGGTGGCTTACAACAAAGTGGGCGCAGACGGTTTTCACGTGTGCTTTGAATGACAGCTTCCTATCGAGCGTAACTTCTAAGTATTTGACCGCGAATTGTTGTCGGAATTGACTTCGATTCTCCATCTACGAAACCACTCGCCTAGGCGTGTGGTGGAAGATTGGAAGAGCTGCGGACTCTAATTTGGAGCTGCGCGCCGAATAATAGAGCGTAGTGTCGTCGGCAAATAAGGCGAGATTTACTGACTGGTACTTCGGGATGTCGATTGTGTACAGGGAGAATAGGAGGGGCAAGAGGGCAGAGGCTTGCGGGAGTCTAGCTCTTAGAGGGGAGGAGAGTGCGTCTTCGACTGGGTAGCGGAAAGAGCGATTCGACAAGAAGTCTCGAATGATTGAGAGATAAAGCCATACTTCTGTTCGGGAACGGTCATAATCAGAAAGGCGAAGTCGTTCGGCTGACCCACCGTCACCACATAGATCAAGGAAGTGGAGGCAAATGTCATATGATGATAGGGATCAATTGTGGTAGGTACCCATCTCGCCCTATGACTGGATGCCGCCCACCCTTTGCTTATTTTCGTGAGTATTTTGACGACGAATCAACGAAACGATCTCGATTAGTTAGTATTTTGTGTTAATTAATAACAAAATCATATGTTGTTATATTTAATGTGAAACATGTGAAAAACTTTAAGTTTCATTAATATAGTAGATTTTCTTGCTTTATAAGTCTCCTTTTATTCAAAATTTTTATTAAGTCATAAAAAACCGCTAACGCTTTGGTAAGGTTCATGACGGGATGCCATGATCGTGCATCGGGGGGTTTTGCAAGGGTTTTGGGAGAGGAGATTTTTTGTATTTTTTTCTTAAAAATAAATGCTTAAAAAATGCTACATCAAATCCAATAAAAAAAGAAAAGAATTTTCCCGTACTGAAAGGGCTAAGCAACGCCGGGGCTAGCCTATATAACGCCCGGTGCAATCACTTGGCGCCCTCTAGAAGACACGCGATCAAAATGGAATACTTGTAATCGCTTACGATAATTAATCGTTTCCTAAGTTATCGAAATTCGGGTGCAAACGTGCAAACGGTGCAACTAATGACGTTGGAAAGCAATAGGTAGGTAGCCCGTTAACTTCGCTTGCGCCGTGAGTAACGCCATCTCTTTACAGGCGTCGCGAGTGTCGCTTGGCGCCCGAAAAGGCCCTGCTCAATCTGCAGTATAGGATAGCCGGTACTATCTCTGAGTAACATGTATTGGCCTAGATTCATATTATTCCATCCTATAAGGCCTATATTCACTATACAGTTGGCACTAGCAACCTCATAGAGTATTTTTTATACAAAATGTAACTTATTTAAAGCTGGAGGCGGTGTATAATTTGCCATGTGAACTATATTACGCGGTCGATAACTGTCTATGTAAATTCGTGGTAGAGGTACTGCGGCTTAGTTTTAGTATGAGAGAGTAACTATCACAATAGATTTTCGAAAAAAACATGGCAAATGTTGATCGTGTACAGTTCTTAGTTTCCCAAAACTCGACAGTTTAGACCCGGAATTGGACCTTCAATATGCAATGAAGCAGTAAAGAATGGAATATTGTAAGTGAGGCCGTATTAAAACGGGACAGATACGGCAACGTATTGATTACATTTCTTTATTTTATTTGGAAATAGCAAAATGTTAAATGTGATGTCAAAGCAAGTATAACTGATTTTTGTATGTACCTATATTTGTTCAAAATAGACCCCGTAGCAGCTGATTACATTATGATGAAACCTTCAGAGTGTACTGTCAGAAAACTTAATGCGTTACCACTTTAGCTGTTATTTTAGCGTCACAAGCGAGCACTTATCAATGAATAGTTTTTTTTGTTATATATACAAACGGTTTACATAAAAATAAATTAAGGAAATCAAGAAATTAAGGGACGGAGCCATTTACAATCTCCGCTTCCGAAGAAAAGGGTGAAGGCTTCATTTTTGGTGATAGTACATCTACGTAAGATCACAAATATTGTTAGATCTCGATATCTCAAATTATTCCGAAGTAACAGACTTTTACTTGACATGAGAAAAGGATTTCTTTGGTCTTTTATCCCGAAACTTGGTACGAATTCTTATCAAAGTAAGTAATAAATATGATTTAAAAAACGGATCTGTTTTCGCGTAGTTCTGTTCTATTTCGGAAGCTCTTTAAGTAAAGGGGACATTTTTCTTAATTACACGCTGATAAAGTCGCATGATTTAACAATAAGTACTACTATAATATATACTTTCCAACATTTTGTATCGTGGTTAGAGCAAATTGTGGAACTGGAGCAGAAATTTAATAAAATTAATACTTAATTAGTTTAAGCCCGCGCGCGCTTCCGCTTTGCGACCTCCGTTTATATAGTCATTTTACAGAACGAAATTTATCATTGTAACAAAAAATGCCAATATAGTCTATTATGTACATGACAGAATAACTCATTCATTTACTGAATGACAGTATATCTACATTAGAATAGAATTGAGTGTACTGTATGTATTAACAAAAAGGGCTTAACTCAAAATTATGCCACAGTTCAGTCGAAAGACGGCGATGATTCCTCCAGGTCCTCTAAGGTAAATCGGTAAAAAAAAAATTGGAATCAATACGGGGTCTCAATATAGTTATAATACTATATGCAGAAGTTGTTAATAATGATATGATAAACGTTCCATTAGTACTTAAAAGTTGTGATGATTATTATGCCATCATCGTCAGAAAACGAACAGCTTCCGCACTTCGACGGATTC